ATTACTTCATATTTAAAATGATCCTGTCTATAGCGCATTAAAAAATTTAAAGCGCAACGCGATTTTAAATTTAATTAGAACAAACATAAAAATAATGTTTATTCTAATTAAATTTAAATTTTGAATTATTTTTTCGCGTATATTACAAAAATGACAAATTTGATTTTTTCGCCTACATTGTTATTTTATTTTCCCAAATTTTAACAAAAAATTTATAGATATCGAATTCAGTCATCCAAAAAAATTAGAATCAAGTGAAATTAGCTCCTACAGCGAGATTGGTTACGAACCTTAGGAATATAATTGAATTTACATCAACGTGATGGAAAATTCATCATTACGATTATTAATAAAACACACACGTACTTGGTAAATTTCTATATAGTTATATTTCAAGTTGTAATACTTATGTATATTTATATTTTACAAGAGAATTGGAAATTAAATAAACGAACTTGGGAAATTATTTTACTAAAAAACAGATATTTCGTAATGTGGTTTATGCTTTAAGTCATCATCAATAACCATGAGGAAGACGAAAGTAAATAGTAAAGCAGCTGCGCTCAGTAAGTGCCAAATGTCATGGTAATCGTAAAAATTCAAAAATTGACAATTTGTGTTTCTCTGGCGAGACTCCGCAGGCGATACCTAAAAGTAATATTAAATGATTTTTACGTATGAAACAAATAATATTTCTAAATACAGTAGAACCTTTATGACTCGAACATCAAGGGAGACGCCAAAAAAATCGAGTTATGGCGTTTTCGACTTATAGAGGATTTTGACTAAGGCGGATTTTGATTCGACTTTAAGATTTGGTATAATTACATTGTCGGCAAATCCTTAGTTTTCTTTGAACTATAGACGAATAAGTTTCATATTATCGAGTTGTAAAGGTTGCAAAATAAAAAAATACAACACGCTACTGAAGTGAAACTTCTTCAAACACACAAATATACAGGGATAGGGGTTAAGGAATTGGCTTAATGGTATTATTTGTATACTATGCTTCGCACGGGTGCAATGCTGATAGTAAATATACTTTATATACAACAATCACAGCTTTTTTTTTCATTAGACAGTACAAACCGGCCGGTACCGCCGCAACCGCTATGTCCCTGCATCTTCGAAAATATTCATTTAAATTACAAGCTGTAAAGGGCCATATGGATTTATATTAAATGCACAATGTATTTAAAAGTACTTAATTGAATAAGGATTAAGGCAGTATTGCTTAAAATCGCTTCGTAAATAAGCCATTATTTTCGTAAAAAGTAAAGGATAAAAAATGGTTATTGTTGGTTATCCTTAAGAGATAGACATATATATAGAGCTTTTTAAGGTGTACAATACTGTAGTATATTATTCTGATCTATCTCGTAGGGTTCAGTCAGCGTTTGCAATGTAAGCGCAAAAAATGTGTTTACTTACGACATCACATTACAAACCTCTAAAATTATCAGTGTTTCNAATCGCTTCGTAAATAAGCCATTATTTTCGTAAAAAGTAAAGGATAAAAAATGGTTATTGTTGGTTATCCTTAAGAGATAGACATATATATAGAGCTTTTTAAGGTGTACAATACTGTAGTATATTATTTTGATCTATCTCGTAGGGTTCAGTCAGCGTTTGCAATGTAAGCGCAAAAAATGTGTTTACTTACGACATCACATTACAAACCTCTAAAATTATCAGTGTTTCTCTACTATATTATGTATTTATTATACATATAAACCTTCCTCTTGAATTACTCTATCTATTAAAAAAAACGCATTAAAGTCCATTGCCTAGTTTTAAAGATCTAAGCATACATAGGGATAGACAGCGGGGGAAATGCGCTGCATGATTTCGTTACATAGCAACTCGCTACCGTGCGTAAAGAAGTTTCACTTCAAAAATTGCTATCTCGAAAGGTATAGAGGTCCAATTTAATTTTTCGAGTTATAGAGGGGAAATAGTTACCAAAATGGGTTGCAGGGACTCAATGATTATTTCGACTAATAGAGGGTTGAGATTTCGAGTGATGGAGGTTTTGAGGCTTGAAAGAAAGGGAACAAAACATTTTTTTTGAGTTTTAGAAGTTTTCGACTTATCGAGGTTCGACTTAAAGAGGTTCTATTGTATTTACTAGAAATATATTTTAATTAGTTATGTATGGATCTTTCGCCCAGTCGAGACGACTTATGGCTTTTCTGTCTCGACTCAGCGAAAGATCTATATATTTTTTTAATGTTTTATGTGTGAACTTAAGTTAATTTGTAATCGTAATATTAAACATCTTCTCCTGATACTTACATACCACAAGGTGGAAGTCTGTGTAAAAAAATAAGCGGAGAAACCCCATGTAATTAAAGTCAAAATTCCAAAAAAGATCGCCTGAGCACAAATTCGTTCTCCATGAGTTAACTGCCAAAGAAACGCCATCAAAATTCACATTCATAGTAAATTGTAAATATAAAATGAATGTATAATATTGTGTGATATTGGAACTTACTTTCATGCTAGTGTAACTTAAACAGTATAAAGTTGCGTTTCCGAGGAGGATTACCAGCAGAAATGTCCCAAAGTCAATTCCATTTGAATAACAATAAATTCCCAAGAGAGCCATTACGGAATTGATGATGTTTCCCAATAAACATATTATAAAATGTGCTAAAAGAATGTTGCTGGATTGTAACATAAAACATACGCGATTATAGAAAATGGTTGGTCACTTAGACATTATGTATATTGACTAAATTGTGTGGAAAATGTGATAAATTAATTGCCTACTTTATCTAGATGTTGTTCATAATAGCTAGTTGGACATAATGAATATTGTTGAACGTCCGATGAAGTTAAAAAAAATAACGTGTAATTATACAACACGCTACTGAAGTGAAACTTCCTCAAACACACAAACATACCGGGATAGGGTTTAAGGAATTGGTTTAATGGTATTATTTGTACACTATGAATTTAAATTTTACACTATACATGCCAGAGTTGCCTGTAACGAACGTTGCATTGAAGCGCGCTCACGGCTCAAGCGAGACATCCGTTGCATGATTTCGTTACGTAGCAACTCGCATAAAACCAACTTACCCTACCGTGCATAAAAAAGTTTCACTTCAAAAGACATTACCTAGAAAAAATAATTAATAAGGTAGATATTATACATAGGTAATCACTAGGTAGTATAAACAATATCCAGATTAATTACTTTGGTTGTAATATATTCATAATTACAGAAGGTTAGTTAATTTAATTTCGTATAAAAGCTGATGATTTGAGATTAATAACAAATGAAGGTATGTTTGTGGAATATGTTATTAGTTAGTTTACCTCTTCTTCGTGGCTTAAAAACATTGAAAAATCTATCATGCGGTTTTGTACAATCTTTAAATACAGACATAAGCCCATGTCTAACGTAACTCAGAAAGTATGCGTTAAAAGAAAGGTACACACAGAAAATAATATAACTGACCATAAACAGTATCCAAATCGATAGAGAGCCATCCACAATACCAATAGTAGCTGTAAATAATAAAAAAAAACAAATACAACATATTTTTCTTGTTTCTTTGATTATTCTTATTACGGTAAAGGTAGGTAATAAAATGGACGTTACCTTTAAATGATCTTTTAAAATTTAGTTTTTTACAATAGAAAGGTAAAACTGTTCATTATTCACTATTATTTCTGTTTATAAGTACACAGTCTGTTCAACAAATATGCGAACCGAGTTTCTAAATAGTCTAGATGAATTAGCTGAAAATCCCCCTTTTTCGGGAAAGTTTGGAATAGACCTCATTTTTGCATGTAATTTATCAAAAATTAGTAGTAACCTAGTGCACACGCCCATAAATGTGATGAATTTTCCTTATAAACAGTTTATGGTCGGTTTTCCGAGGTATTTTCCATTTTTCTTTTACAATATTTTTCTGTTGATGTTAGCGAAAAAAGTTAAATGAGAACGTTGCATAGAATCACCTTTTTTCTTGTTCTTTTTAAATTATCAAGGCGTTCAATTTAGTTAGATTCCAGAATAAGCGAGTAAGAAATCACAATCCTTTTTTTGACTTTGTCCTAGTCGGATAAAAAAAATGAAGTCCTATCGATGCAATGTTTGAAAGAAGAAAGATGTAAGGATGTTAGTCAATTTCAATAAAGAATTATTTAACATATAACAATCTGAAATTTAGGGTCATTTTTCGAACATCACGTTATCAATTCAATTACTTAAAGGAATCAATCGTCAATCGTGTGAAGTAACCACATCACCATTAGAGAAATTAACAAATAACATTACACTAATTTATAAGTTTTATGTTAAGATTGTAAATCTACGAATAACAGGATATGAAATTAACAACATGTTCCTCATCTTCATGAGAAAAAATATCGATGCTTTATTGGACGTTTTGCCGGCAAAACACGTATTCGACTTATTTACTCAAAATTCGTGGTAAAACAATTACCCCCAGCAGTTAATAATAGCAACGATTGAGTAAACCTAAATATCTACTCGGTCGCGGTTGCTGGGGGAAAACCGTCCTTTTAGGTTCTGTTCAATATAATGTGCGACCAAACACATTGGTTTCATCACGAAGTGGAGACTCATTGAAGTATATAATTAAAGGTTTTTTTTCTGTATTACTACTTTCACTCCTGTCAACGACGGAAATTGATTAATAGACGTAATAACGACTCAACATTAAATATTTGGTAAAATTTGGGAAAATATTGAGGAAATTGATAAAATGTTATGTTTCGTTTATGGAAGCTCGTTAATCGTGAAAACTACAAAGGCGAAAGCCAGGACGACATTCGTCCCTTGTGGTTTGTTGTGCTTTCTGATCGCTAATTCATTGTTTAAATAATTGCAGATGAGCTATTGTTTGCAAAATCGTTTGTTAATGTTATGCGGTTCCCTTAAAGCATTTGTAGTTAAAAAAAAATGTCCCAAAGTTGTTGACACCTGACCAAATATTGACAACGTCAGAATGCTTCATCAACTGGAAGAACTCTGCTTAAAGTTATGTTTTCCATGAGAGGATATTCTCTGGAAAGGGATCGTGATTTAAAAAGTATGACATTGAGCCTAAATAACAAGGAATGGAAAGCAAAACATGAATCACGAACAAAACATTGCCGAAGAAGTTGATTCAAAAGTAAAGCTTCTACTGTTGACTTTTTTGTGTAGGTAATTGGGGTTGTCTATTAGATATCATATAGGTGGTTCTTCCGGAAGAGCATCATTATCATAAGGTCGTCAGTCTTAAGACTGGTTGGACACGCACCTCCACTTTTTCCTATCCTGAGCTAATCTTCGCATTTCTCTAAATTTGGAACAACCCACATCCTTAACTATTTGCGAACAGTAATCTAATCTAGGTCTACCTCTACCCCTCCTAACTCCCGTTTCTGCCTCTAACATGTCTTTGACTAGGCCTGCATGCATGAGAAGGTATCCTACGAACCTATCTCGCCTATTTCTTATTGACTTTCTCTGTTCTCCTATTCTTTCTAACACCTCTTCATTTCTAACCTTCTCTATCCACGGTATCCTCATCATTCACCTATAACACCACATTTCGAACGCTTCTAACCTTTTATTTTCCGAAAGGGCAAATAGTAGGTAAATACTGCATTTATATTTAGATGGTAATTGTCGAATGCTACATCATGAAAATGCACTTGGACATCCAGCAGTGATTGATTGTCTGTGAGTTTCTGGTTAGTGGTTTCATCACCACGTCTGATCATCTTTCACCATCTTATTCACCAGACTTAACCCTTTGCGATTTCTTTTTGTTCTCTATGTTCATGTGGGTGCGGTAGTGGGACGATATAGTTAAATAAAATAAAGTTTTTACGACCTTAGTCCTCGTATTCATGGACAGACTATGTACATATATATGTATGTAAGTATTTTATACTCACCCATAAATATAGCAATACCTAGCACTAAAAATGTAGCATACGCTACTGCATTTATATCAGGGTGCCTTTTCTGATATAATTTTATTATCCACAACACAGCCAGTACATACATAAAACTTGTATCTGAAAACAAGAACATAAACAGACTTTTAATATATTATACTTAATGTTTTAATGTCATAATCATACCAAATTGAAAGTTCGCTTGATTAGGACAAATGTGGTAACATGCAGATAAAATCCCTTCAATTATAAGAGCTATCCCCATTGCATAGTACATACCACTGTGCATAGGGATACCATGACTCTAATAAAACAATTTTTAAAGGATATTTAGAATTCGGTATGGATAAATAAATAACAAAGGAATATATTACTAAAATCAAAAACAGGATATGACTTGACGTTATATTCTTAAATTAAGGAGAAGAAATGGAAACTGAACAACAAAAGAAATTTATAACTATAAAGTACAAGGGTACCCTAACACAGTTATGAAAAAGTGGTTAGTTACGTACTTACGAGGGGAACCCAAAAGTAACGGGAATTGGGCTGAGGCGGGGAGAGAGAGTGGGGAAACTCATTGTTCGACCAGGTGTTACTTGGTGTGCGAAGTTCTGTCGTTGTGACCGGTTGGTACGTAGGAATTCTTTTAGTGAAACAACTTTTTCCATTTCGCCGAAACGTGATGGCCGATTGTCAAGAGTAACGCGCGGCTGTGAGTGTTGGAGAAATCGGCTACGGAAACTATTGTAATGCTTAAGTCTGCTTATGGGGATGTTGCCCTAAGTAAATCCGGAGTTTACGAGTGGTTTTCACGTTTTATAAAAGGAGAAAGGTCAATTAAAGACCAACTCCGTTCAAGACGATCCTCAACACCAACAAGCGACGAATACGTAGACAAAATCAAAGCTCTCTTCGTGAAGACCGTTACCGAACCATCGAACGACTCTATGTCATGTCTGGAATATCATGGAGTTCAATTCAGAGGATTTTATCCAAAGATTTGCACATGAGAAGAATTGCAGTCAAATTTGTCCCTCTCACAGACAAGCAAGGAGAGCGTCGACTTCAGGCTTGTTTTGAGTTTCAAAATGAGCTCAAAGAAGACCCCGAATTTTTTTCCAAAATGATTGCTGGTGATGAATTGTAGTGTTATAGACATGACTCCGAAATAAAGTAGCAATCAAGCCAGTGAAAGACAGCTGGCTCTCCTCGTCTCAAAAAAGCTCGCAAAGTGAAGTCAAACATCAAGACAATGCTCATTTGTTTCTTCGATTGCAGAGGTGCTGTGCACGCAGAGTTTGTTCCCATGGGTCAAACTGTTAGCCAGAAGTTTTTCTGGAAAAGATTGAAGGAGAGTATCCGGAAAAAAGGGCTGATCTGGTTCTTCTATCATGACAATGCGTCGGTCTACACCGCCCTCTCGGTAAAGCAGTTTTTGACTAAAAAACGGCATGACACCAATTTTCCATCCCCCTCTCCCCTACTCACTGGATCTGGCCCCCCATGATTTCTTATTGTTCCCCCGACTTAAAAGGGACATGAGAGGAAACCGTTTTGCCACTGTAGAGGAGGTAAAACAAAAATCGCTGGAAGGCCTAAAGAACATCCTGATTAGTGAATTTAAAAAATGTTTTGAACAATGGAAGGATAGTTTTGCAGAGATGCGTTATGGTCAAGAGAGAGTATTTTGAACGTGGTCAAAATTTGATGTAAAAAGATTAAGAAATAAAGAAGTTGTGACAAAATTCCTGTTTTTTTTCGGTCCCCCCTCGTACATGTGTTTGAGAGTTGTTTTCGTGTACTCTAAAAGGTACATCTATCATGTGTTTTTACTTACCGGCTTATAAATTTCCCATTTGTCTTTAATGTAAACTAAAAATAGGAACAAAATCCCTACAAATATATAACCGACATTCGAAAATATATGATTAAAGTCGGTCATCCCAAACAGCGGATTTGCACACAAGAAATTGTAGTAGCACATATCTTGATTTCCAGAATAGTTTAGTATCTGAAAACCATAAAAAGTTAGCATAAAATCGTTATTTTAAAACATAATATTTATCAAGGCGTTCCGATAGCTCACAAAAGTCAATGGAGTTATGAAAATTTAACATTAAATTAACGGAAAATCACAAAAAAAGCAAAAATTATAATAAATAAAAGAGTGAAATGCCTAGAATAGCCCTTGAGATACTTTTCATTTAATATGTAATTCATTTATTACCCTTTGATATGTTATAACAAGCTGGACAACAGGAATACTGTAAAATATTGCTATTATTAAGACCTGCCAACAATAGTTTAAAGATTTCTTGTCGTAATAATCGGAAGATCTTTTGGCTAAATCGCATAAATAAAGGGTAGAGCGATTAAGATGATCATCCACATTTTCTCGGGAAATATCTACAAAAAGTAAAGCGTTTCAGTTAGTAGAAGTGAAATTTTTATTTAATGAAATATATATAAACAAACAATAAAATGTTTTAAATGAACTCAGAGTTGTATTGACAATATTATTTCGGCCCATAAGGCTATTATCAGGTGTAAATGATTATCCATCTTGACACACTGTACGGCAGCGGTCGGGGAACTTTTTTAATCATTACCCCAAAATATTTTTGTGTAAGTTGATATTACCCCATGGCGAAGTGCAAAGAAAAGTAATTATAAAATAGCAAATTAAAAATATATACTTTTTACTCACAAAAGTTTCATTTTTACCCCATTTGGGGTAATTTACCCCGGTTCCCCGACCGTTGCTGTACGGGAACGATTTATATCGCAGAGTATGCGGGCATGGAAAGATGCACTGAAAATGCATTGCTAGTATCATACAGGAACGGTAGGTACTACCACACCGAGGTGATAAGTCGGTACTGATGAAATAGCTTTGCGATTAATAGAAGACAATCCCAGTTTCAGTATTCGAGTCGATACACGACAAGCACACTGCAAATGCTAAGTGTGTTATTCGACATACAGACACGTGTTACTGTAACTCACATGAACGTGTAA